TATCTAAAGGAATCACGAGCCTTCATTTAAATCACATCAGTGATTATACAAACACACTTTTGTGGAGCGATCTGATGTTCCTCTATTTTGGCTGCCCGTTTGGATGAGGGACTGGAGAGAAGAACGAGAGCGATGGAAGTGGAATGGACATGAAGACAGGATAGTCTGGTGGACTAAGTTTGCGAAGATGTTGAGATGCATTCAACCACAACAACCATTCAGTGTGTTTAACCGTCGATTAGATTGATTCAAAAATCTCATCCAGCTAGCCTAATGAGACTTATCTGATCGAGTCCTCGGATCAGGGATTTTCCATCGTCAAACTGCATCTCATACCAATCATCCTTGACATTTTCCACGCCTCGTTCTCCTCGGCTAGCATGCACATATCTGGAAACTAACCTGGATCGCATTCAGTAAGCGAGCACTCAGTATTCTCCTTAAGTGCGATTCTAACGCCTTAAGTGTCAGATGTCAAATTGGCATCACACACACACACGGAGAGTGAAGCGTCAGGATGAAGTTGGGTTTGAAGAAAAATGCAGTGTGATATTTGAATTAGGGTCTTATATGCATGTTTCGGAGACGCAGACTGTGTCTAAATTGAAAGTATTGATTGAGGTTCCCGGCTAAGGTAGCTTGTTGGCGGATTATCCGATGGAGTTTTTAGTCATTGAATAGGACTAAGTTCAAATGAGATCTTGGTTTAATCAAACAGTGCATGATGTACTCTGTTTGGCGGAAACAGAAAGCATTTTATACGCTCTACGAGTGAATGTACAAACTAGACTGATGAGAAAGAGGGGTTTCCAGATTGTGCCAGAGACTGCATATAGGATGGGGATAACATGTGTACATGAGGACTTGGTTTCATGCCCATATTGATCAATGCCCCATTCCTTTTATCTATATCTCTCGGGTATCGAACTCTGATCAACCAATCATTCGACTTGTTCCACCGAACTACGAATACGAGTCTTTGATAGTTCTTGCATCGTTTCCATGTCCCATGTCAACTTGTTTGGCGTAACAGCTGATGATGAACGTGATGCTTACTCTGATCTAAGTGCAGTTCATTTAACTCTATGTTAATGTTTCAT